GATTTCGCTAAACCTTGGGTGGGAATATGATGTTTGCTCTTTAAAAAATAATATCTCTAAATCTCGTTTAGTATTGAAAATAGTCATCTAAATTTAATTCATTTTTTTTTTTTTTATTTATGATAGGGTGTTTGGGCTAGCTTACGCACACCTCAACTAATCCCTCGGGATCAATTAGATAAAAGCTTTAGTGTCTACTCCTATTAGCAAACGAAGAGAGACTCAAACTCAGGATTTCTTGAGTAATATACCTAAAAGTTCTTATTGAACCACTCGATCACCTAGAGGTAATTGTAGTTCGGTTTTTTGTTTACACTCATTTCCCCCAATTTCAAATATGAAACTTACTTTTTATTCTTTAGTTTCATCAACAAACAAATATTTGAAATAAAAGAAAACGTTTCAATGATTATGAAAGTTTAGTGTAACGATTTATGTAAGAATTAAAGTTCAAAACAAAAAAATATAATATAATAGGGATGTACTTAGAACTTATAATGTCATTTTTAGTAATTTTCATTAAGGTTAAACTTGTCAAAACAAAAGAACAAAATGAGGATAATGATAAATTAGATTTAAATGTTTAAAAAGACTGTAAAAATTCTATAACGACAAATTGAAATGAAAAATTTGTGTGAACAAAGTGAAAAAAAAATTGTTTGTTCACAAAATCAGAATGAATTATATTATAAATCATACGTCTCATTGATACATTAACGGTTAAATTACTACCTAAAATGGATTTTGTTTAACTATAAAGACATGAATTTATAAAGAAATGAGTAATGCTACACCTAGAGGTGGGCATTTGAGACTGAGTCCAAAAACCCAATCCAAAAATCCGATCCTAGGAGGTTTGGTTCCAAAACGGGATCGGACCTAAGGAGGAGGGCTCGATCCCTCCACTGGGCCCTCCTCCAAGGTCCCAGGCCTGGGCCCAAATTTTTTTTGCATTTTTTTCCTTTTAGTCCTTTATGTAATTATATTTTTTTACTTTCTTTATAACCGATGGCAGTAGCCAACGGTCATTTTTGAGCCCTCCACAATTACAATATAAATAACCCTAAAATCTTTCATTTTTTCCACACCACTCAATCTCTCATTCTCTCAATCTCTCTACTCCAAATCTCCAATCAAATTCCCATTCAATTTATATTTATATTTATAATTTATAATTTATTCATATTATTTATATTATTCAATTTTTTCTATTTTTCAATATCATCTCTTATTCATATTATTATTGAATTTCTTTTCATTTTAATTATTTATTATTTTGTCATAAATTTATAATGGATTCCCGAAATGATGCATTCGGAGGATCATCCCTAAATGAGTTTTACATTCCATCCACCGAAGAAATGGAAGGGTTCAATCCATTTTCACCATTTTCTCCAGAGGATGCAGCTGCAATTCTACAACCACATTCGGTCAGGACGAGGTGTAGCCAAACACATGCGAGCTGCGAGTCAACAGGCATGAGCATAGCCCAACCCCCCCGACCATCAAAGAGGGTCGTGTTCAATGTATGACGACACTTTACCAAATCAAAACGGCCAAAGACAAATGGGGAGGAGGAAGAATTGTATGGGATATGTAATTTCTGTGGAACCATTATTGGCGCTGAGAAGGGGACTTCGACGATGCGACGACATGTGGAGAAAAAGCACCCCCAAATAATGTAGTTGCCCGATACGTCTTCAACCAAATTAGGTAGACAAATTCAAACTCAACTTAATTTTAATCCACAATCCTCAACTCTCTCAACATGGCAATACAATGCACATGTTGCACGAGAGGAAATAGCAAGATTCATAGTTGCTACGGACTCTCCCATTTGTTTATCTGAAAATCCTTATTTTATTCACATGATTAAAACTGCATTTTGTCCAGCATATACCCCTGTTAGTAGAAGTACAAGTAGAAGAGATATACTAAAACTTTATAACAAAATAAATAATAAACTTAAAAACGAATTTCAAAATTTTAGGAATATATCTATTACACTTACATCAGACATATGAGCTTGTAGATCAAAAACCGATTTTAACTGTCACAGTACATTTCTTAGATCATAATTGGGGTTTACAACAGAAATTGATAAAACCATTATATGAAAAACATAGTGCTGAAACTATTTATTTTACAATTCTTGAAGTTTTACAATAATATTTATTAACTAATAGAGTTGTAGTGCTAACGCTTGATAATGCAGCTGCTAACACCGCGATAGCTCTTTATTTGAAAAGAGATTCGATCCGTGTGGTGAAGGCAAATTTTTCATCAGAGATGTGCTTGCCACATCATCAATTTGATAGTTAAAGCAGGTTTAGATGTTATACATTCGAAGATGGAGAGGGTGCGCGCAGCTATCGAATTTATCGTCGGCGGTAGCAATAAAAGATGGCAAGAATACGTCAAATATTGTAAGCAAGAGGACCCACCGATTCGACCTTTGAAGTTATGTACGGACATACCTATCTGTTGGAACTCCACCTACTTGATGTTGGAAAAAGCTTTGCCAACCGCGAAATAAATTACAGATTTCGTCAACCGGAAGCACTATCCAGAGGAAGTTGTTAGCTATGATGATTGGGCGGTTTGTGAACTTTTTTATTCATTTCTTAAAAATTTTTATGATGCTACTAATATATTAAGTGGTATTTATTATCCAACTACTAATTTAGTGTTAGATATTTTACTTCAAATTGCTAAAACTTTTGCTAAATATAGATATAATAATGTTTTAAGGGAAATTGTTTTAAAGATGGAAGAAAAATATGAGAAATATTGGTTAGATATTCCATTCTTATATGGATTAGGCATTGTTCTAGATCCTATGTTTAAATTACACATAATTAACTGTATAATTATTGAGTTAAGCCAGCATTTAGGATATGATTATACGTCTTATTTGACTAACTTTAAACAAAAATTAGATAGCCTTTTTTCTTTATATGAAAACAGGTACAATGGAAGTGGAAGTGGAACGTTTAGGAGAGAGGATCAGGACCTTAATGCAGCCCTTCGTCAAGGATCGAGCAAGTGAACGTATATGGAACGTGGTGGAAGTAGCAGCTCCAGCTCGTACATACATGAACCAAATGAGTTGAATCGTTACTTACAAGTGGACCTGTCCTTTATGACGATGAATGAGCAACATAACATGGATATTCTTCAATGGTGGAACCAACATGAAAGTCGATTCCCCATTGTAGCCCAAATGGCACGTGACATTTTATCTGTGCCGGTTTCTACAATTGTATTTGAGTCAATATTTTCAACGAGTGGTCGGATTGTTGAAGACAGAAGATGTTCTTTAACAGATGAGATGATTAAAATGATAACGTGTTTACGGGATTGAACTCATGCAGAAAGAAGACTACAATAGCACCTTAAAGATCCCGAACTACTCGAACTCTTTAAGAATACAGATTTGAATGATGTAAATATTGTTGACGATGAAGATGAATAATTTAATAAAAAAAATTATTTAATTGTTTATTTGTGAAGCGTGAATGTGTGAAATGTGAATATTACATTTATGTTAAAAAATAAAATTAACTATTAATTTTTTTATTTTTTAAAATTAATTAAATTTTTAGAAACTTACTAATCTACTCCTGAAAATACTAAAAACCCCCTACAAAATTTTATTTTGCCCCTAAAATATAAAAAAAAAAAAATCAGTGGGGAAAAGAAGTTTTCCAGGCCCATAGGACAGGTCTTAGGCCCATAGGACCAGTCCTAGGGACCGATTCGTGTCCTAATATTGCTCATGGGCCTGGGATCGATCCCAGGCTCAGGCTTGGGCCTACTTGGGATTGGTCCTTGACCAGCTCTAACTACACCTACAATCACTTCTCACAAACTTTTTTTTACAACCTCCACGCAACAGTTCGCAGTTAGTCAATTACATTTTAGCAGGTCCCAGGTGGGACCATTATGAGTTGCTGCAGTTGTGAGATAAAATTTGTGATAAGAGGTTGTGTGTATAGCATTTTCCTAAAGAAAAATGGTTTATTTAAAGAAAAATGCAACTCTCCCCATAATAAGTTATTTCCTGAAAAACGTTTTTCAAAAACATTTCCATTTTCTACTAAAACATTTCCATTTTCTACTAAAACATAATTTCCTCTTTTGTAAGAATCTAATGAATGGGAAGGCAAACAACATTCTGGTCCTCTTAATCTTCCTCTTCATTTTTAGCACCCATTTACTTTATATTGTTTGCATTTATTTTACAACAAAGTATACATTTTAAAGTTATTATAAAATTATATATGAAAAGACATCTTGACTGGCTTCATCTTTAAAATTGTATTTAATTAATTAAGAATAAATTAATCAAATTAAACGAGATATTTACCTAAAAGGCTAAAACGATACTTTAAAAAAAAAATGATAATATTTTGTCATTTGAAATGTGCAAATAAAGAGTAAACGACTTTTTGCCACCCAAGGTTTTCTTTAATGACTTTTTCAGCCTAAAAAGTTTCAAAAAACCACTTTCCCACCCAAAGTTTATATTCCGTTAATACCTAAAATACACTTCACTTTCTTAGCCGATTTTCAGCGAGTTGCCAAGAGCCAAGGTAAGAGGAGTTTTTAGAGTAGAGACCGGTGGATCGAATGGTGGTGACCGATTGAACATTTGCTGCCAAAATTAGTCAGAAATAAGCTAAGAGCAGGAAACCTTAGTTTTGCGATGGCTAGCAATCGACGAAAAATCAGGTACTAGAGTAAGATGAGTTTTGTAGAGAGGAGAACAGAGGTTCAAATAGTGGTGATAGAGAGAATTTTTCGCTATCAAAATCGGCCGGAATCAGCTTTGAGTAGTAACAGAATATTAACTTTGGGTGAGAAAGTAGTATTTTGAAACTTTTTGAGTGGAAATTTATTAAGGCAAACCTTGGGTGGGAAAAAGGCTTTTACTCGCAAATAAACGCAATATAATGTCGTGTGTTTGGGTTTTCAAAATCTTAAAGAGGGTTGAGAAAATGGGAACTTTGGCAGCGGTTTTCGGGCACCCAGATGAATTTTACCCCTTGTTGAAGCTGAAAAGGGCGGTAACAGATGTGGAGAAGCTGAAGCAAATCCCATCTAAGCCTCACTGGGTTTTTTGTTATACTATTCTTCACAAGGTCTCTCATAAATTCCCTCTCGTGATTCAGCATCTTGATACCGACCTTAGAGACGCTGTAAGTCTCCATTTTCAGTTCTTACTTCAGGTTCTGTTACTAACTGTTGGGTCATTCGCTTGAGTCTACTAATAAGTCAGAAATCCCTCCGAGTTGTCTGCTTTATTGGGTTCTTTGTTCATTTCGTTTAGTATCAGATCAGACAGACTATTCTATTTCATTCATTTAGTGTAAAACCATCTACTTTCATTGATGTAAACCCTTCTATCTCGATCTGCTTTAGCAGGGAGTTAATTCAAGGTTTTCTACGACTCGTTTATGCCATCATAGTAGTTTACAGGCTTATCCCAACTTCCAGCGAATAAAGTTGATTATGTTTAATTACATTAACAGTTTCAGAGGTTTGAACGTTTCACATTCGAATAAAAAAGATCATTAGGGTAATACAAACACCCTAAACGGCGACGAAGTTGACAGATTCCCCCGTATCATTGTTTCGGTAGCATGCAACGTGATATTATGTAATATACAATGAAATAGAAGTTGTAATTTTAACTTGTGGAATTTTCTGTTCTATGTTTTTAATTACTGTCTTAATAGCATGAAAGCTGTTATGTGCGTTTTACAAGTATTTCTTGTTACTGGGAGAGATGTTCATAAGCTAGTGTGTTTCATGTGTATATTTTTATCAGTTAAAAAATTTGCTGTTATGCAGGTATGCATATTTTATTTGATTCTTCGAGCCCTTGACACAGTTGGTATGTTTCTGATATATATCTTCAACTTTTTTTTTCGATTTCTGTGTTATATCTTGCACTTTGCTGTCTACAATATTAGATTTTTCCATATTGAAAAGACTAAACAACATATTCTCACCTGACGATTAGCAAAATCTTAAGGTGATACCTTTAGTTATATTTATTTTAATTTTCACCCTTAAATTAACACCGTTCGTGACTGTTAAAGGTAGTTAAAAATAGTGAATGAGGTCGGCAAGTAAAAGTATGAGTTTTGTAGAAGAGGTTATGGGGAGTCCAACGGTGACTTCGAAAGTGATTTTAGACTTTAGAATCAGTTAGAAAAAGCCAAAAACCACCAACTTGACGCTATTAACGTGAATTAATTTTTACTAAAATGAGCCCTTCTTGGCCAAAGAAAGCGTTAGTGGACTTTAGCGTGCCATTGTGTACAGCCCTACAATAAAAGGTTAAAAATCTGTTAAAATAAAAGAAACAGCATCACTATAAAATAAAAATTTGGAATAAATGAAATCAAGAGTATCAACTGACATTCTTCGTTTGTTCTATTGAATATGATAAACGTGATGTGAAAAATTTTAAAATGGTTTCTTCAGATGGCAGTCTGGACATCACTTCAGTCGCTTTACCTTCTACAGTCTGATAGACAAAATTTACGTAGATTATGTTGCAGAGTCTGTTCTCCCTTTAACATTTATATATATATATTTGGGCGAACGACTTGTACATACCCAAAGTTTACTCTAATGATAAGTTGGTATCCAAAAGGTTTTGAAATGACAAATAAGTACCTTCCGTCATATTCTGTTAGTAATTTCTGTTTATTACTGTTTATTAATAGTGAAAAGACTAAAATGCCCTTAAAAGTTTGAATTTTAGTTTTTTAAAAATTTCAAAAAACCCCTTAAGTTTACAAATTTCACTAAATACCCCAATATATAAAAGTTTTATAAAATAACAAAAACACCCCCCACCGGCAAGTGCCAGATTCCGGCCACCACCGCCGGAATCTGGCCGGAAAGTTGCGTTACGACACAGACCCGTCGGATCTGTGTCGTAACGTGCCGATCTTTCCTTTTCCGGTCAGATCCGCCACGGATCTTGCCGGAAAAGGCAAGATCTGGCCGTCGAAGCAGCAGCCAGATCTGGCCTTTTCCGGCCAGATCCGTGGCTGATCTGGCCGGAAAAGGCCAGATCTACTGCCAGATCTGGCCTTCGACGCCGCAGATGGAGTTTTGCGGCGTCGACGGCCAGATCTAGCCGTAGATCTGGCCTTTTCCGGCCAGATCAGCCACGGATCTGGCCGGAAAAGGCCAGATCGACGCGTTACGACACAGATCCGACGGGTCTGTGTCGTAACGCAACTTTCCGGCCAGATTCCGGCGGTGGTGGCCGGAATCTGGCACTTGCCGGTGGGGGGTGTTTTTGTTATTTTATAAAACTTTTATATATTGGGGTATTTAGTGAAATTTGTAAACTTAGGGGGTTTTTTGAAATTTTTAAATTTATAAAAAACTAAAATTCAAACTTTTAAGGGCATTTTAGTTTTTTCACTATTAATAAACAGAAATCACTAACAGAACATGACAGAAAGTACCTATTTGTCATTTCAAAACCTTTTGAATACCAACTTATCGTTACGATAAATCTTGGGTATGTATAAGTCGTTCTCCCTATATATTTTTATTCAAATGTTGGTGAATGCCCTTTTTTCCCCTTTCCCCAATGGATTTGCATTAAAGAGGATGATACAAGTATACCTACAGAGGTGAAGGTGCCTATTCTCTTGGCTTTTCAAAGTCATGTATATGATCGTGACTGGAATTTTTCATGTGAGATTTTCTTTCTTAATTTGAAAGAAATAATATTACTGGGATAGTAGGATTCCCTTTGGTTTCCTTTTAACTCTTTTTTTCTTTTAAGGTGGTACAAAGGATGACAAAGTTCTGATGGACCAGTTTCATCATGTTTCAACCGCTTTTCTGGAGCTTGAAAAGGGGTTAGTCTCTTATCCTTGCTTTAGCCTAGGAATATTTGATTTTAATAACTTCTGGAGACATGAAATGATGATATTCATACCCATTTTTCTTATTCTTTTTTCTTCCCCATCGGCCTGTTGGAATTTTCTGCATCTATTTGCATTCAGACATAATTGCAGTTTTAATTTTTGGTACAGTCCTTTAATTAGAAATTCACATTAATGTGCAGTTATCAGAAGGTAATTGAGGATATTACTCAAAAAATGGGTGCAGGAATGGCAAAATTTATTTGCAAGAAGGTTCGTGAATCATGTAACCTGCATCTATTGTTCTAAGATATAGTAATAATCTATATATGATGGTAGAGATGAGCTCCTTGAGCTAATTACAGAAAAAGCAGATAGACCAAATGTATATCACACTAATAAATTTTATCCTCATCTCTTGCAGGTTGAAACAATTGATGACTATAATGAATACTGCCACTATGTAGCTGGACTTGTTGGATTAGGTCTGTCTGAGCTTTTCCATGCCTCTGGGAAGGAAGATATGGCTCCAGAACATCTTTCCAGTTCAATGGGTGTATTTCTTCAGGTATTCATTATATGGAGCAACAATGCGTTTTTCTACAGCCTGGGTATCTGATTTGAAATGCTAAAGCTTGACTGTATGGATCTACAAATAACAGAAAGCAAATATCATTCGAGATTATCTGGAGGATATTAGAGAAACACCAAAGCCGCGGATGTTTTGGCCTCAAGAGATTTGGAATAAATACGTCAACAAACTAGAGGTGTATATTCCCTTTTACTTGTTTTATCACTATATATTGTTTTGTTTTTCATGTCTAATTGACCTTCTCTCAGGACTTACAGTATGAGGAAAACTCTGTCAAGGCAGTAGAATGTTTTAATGACATGGTTACCAATGCTTTAACACATGTGGAAGATTGTTTCAAATACATGTCTGGTTTAAGAGATCCTGTTATTTTCAGATTTTGTGCTATCCCTCAGGTAGCAAGGTTGAATATGAGACTGTGATTGATTTACTGAGTGACTGATAACAAACCATGAATATGAAGGTTCATAGAAAGCTTACCTTTGTCAGGTTATGGACATCGGAACTTTAGCATTATGCTGCAACAACATTGAAGTCTTCAAAGGTGCAGTGAAAATGAGACGTGGTAAGATTTTTTCAATCACATTATTTATAAAAATCATTCCTGGTGTTTTTTCTCAGTATTTTTTTAATCACATTATATTTTTTAAGAAAAATATTATGTTTATAACCTAATCTCACAACTTTCTCTTACAATCTTAACGTGTCAGCAGATTGGTACTATCACGTCAGCTCCTACTACACCCAAGATACCAAAGGCACTACTGAAAACGAACAGTTGTTCCTTATAAAGGAATAATCATTCCTTCATAAGGAATGATTGTCCTTAAGGAACAACCATTTATAGTCATTCATTTTATAAGAAATGGTTGTTCCGCCATTAGAGATAGTTGTTCTTTATTTATAAACGGTTGTTCCATTGGTTGTTCCTTCATAAAGAACAGTCATTTTTTCTATGAGAAACAATCATTCATAATCAAAATCATTTTGACGTGACAACATCAACTTAGTTATCACGTTAAGGGTTATAAGAGAAGTTTGTGAAAAAAAGTTTGTTGACTTAGTATTACTCATTTTTTTAATAAATAAAGGTTCGTTGTGTTGATTGTTGATGTTTCTAGGTCTCTCTGCTAAAATCATTGACCGAACAAATGTTATGTCAGATTTGTATGGTGCCTTCTATGATTTCTCTTGTATGCTCAAGTCCAAGGTATGCTCCGATGCATGTTTTCTCTGCAAACTTTTCTCATGGTTTCAGTACTCACCAAAATATGTTGGTGGTGGGCTGTAGATCAACAAGAATGATCCCAATGCAACAAAAACCTTGAACCAGATTAATGCAATTCAGAAAGTATGCATGGAAAGACATGGAAGACACTATGTTGTAAATTAACCCAAATATAGTGAATCAGCAAAGTCCAGATTAGGAAATCAAATCATAACAATCTAATAATGAAGATAAAAGCAGTAAAGAAAAGTAGACAATAGAGACACAATTTATAGTGGTTCGGTAATCTGAAGATTACCTACATCCACTCTTCAAAGGCAACCAGAAAAGGTATTTACTATGAGTTTGAGAAACCTTACAAAGAATCGGCTCACCCTTTATACCAAGGCATAACAGATACAAACCCTCTGTTACACACCCGATACCCAGATGCTCTCCACTCATACATCGCACACAAAAGCAGAAAATCAGTACAGATTTATAAAAACAGTAAGGGCTAAACAGAAAAGGACAGCTCACACCTACCATCACCGTTGATTCATGGGGGTATGGGATTTCCAGCACAGCATCTCTAAACCGTTTCTTCTCTGTAACCAAGAGAGAAAAGTGAGAAATGAGCTGCGTACACAAGACCTAATTCGATTTAGGTTTCGGGAATCAAGGGAAAAGACAGAACTGCCCCTTTTGTCTTAACAATTTACTTTGACCAGCCAACTCCAGATTTGACTCCTAGTGTCATATAAAATGCCACATCACTACAAATCTCCACCTTGGCATTTGATCTTCTCCTTTCTAGTTGCCTGAAAATTTCTTAATCTCTTCGATATGCAGAAGGCTCTTGAAGAGCCTTAACTTGTCTAAGGTTACTGTCTTGGTGAACATGTCTGCTGGATTCTCCTTACCAGGGATTTCTCCACCTTGATAACTTTGTCTTCTATCAAGTTTCTTATGAAATGAAGTCTAACATCAATGTGCTTCGACCTCTCATGAAATACCTGATTTTTACACAAGAAAATAGCACTCTGACTGTCACTTTAATAGGAACATGCTGCTGGATCAGTCCCATTTCAATCAGCATCCCCCTTAACCACATGGCCTCCTGACTGCTTCTGTAATTACAACATACTCTGCTTCGGTAGTGGACAAGTTACAATAGCCTGCAGATTAGCTTTCCAGGAAACCAAGTTATTCCAAATAGAAAACAAAGAAACCAGTCATGGACTCCTATTGTCAATGTTTCCAGCATAATCAGCATCTACACATCCCATGATGGGATTTTCCAGAATTTTTACTCTACTGTAAACTATGCCAGTGGACAGAGTTCCCTTCACATACCAAGATCATTTAACAGCTTCCCAATGAGGTTTTCCGGATTACTCATAAACCTACTAACTGCACGACAGCAAAGCTAAGTCTGGGCTGGGGCACACCATCAAATAATCAGACTTCCTATGGCAATGGCATATGGTTATACTAGCCATTCTTCTTATCTTCTTCAGTTTCTGGACACGGGTTACACTAAGCTTAAATGTTGACCTAAAGGTGTTTTAACAGGCTTAGAGTCAATCATATTAAACTTTTTGATCAGTTTTTCAGCATATTCTTTCTGACAGTATGAGGCTTCCAGTTTTCCTATTTCTCTCAATGTTCATACCCAAAATCTTCCTAGCTTACCTAGATCTTTCATATCAAAATGTTTACTCATTTTCTCCCTTAAATCTATCAATTTCTGAGACACCTTACAAGCTAGCAACATATCATCCACATACAGTGACAGATATATATGCATTCTCCGTATAAACATTTGAAATAAAAACAACCATCAAAACGCTTCGGATAAACCCAGCATTTAACATGGAAAAATCAAATTTCTTACCACTGCCTAGGAGAAGCTCTCAAGCCATACAAGGATTTTTTTAACAAGCATACCTGATTTTTAGTTCCCTTTCAAAGCATTTAGGTTGTTCCATCAGAATTTTCTCCTCTAAATCACCATTCAAGAAGGCTGTTTTGATGTCCAGCTGTCTAATTCTAAACCAAACTGAGCTACTAAAGACAACAGTATCCTAATGGTTGTATGTCTCACCACAGGTGAGAAGATCTCATTGTAATCCACCCCTTCAACCTGTGTAAACCCTTGGCCACTAAACTCGCTTTAACCTAGGAGCTTTACACCCTGGTATGCCTCCTCCTTTTTAAAAACCCATTTACATTTTACCACCCTGCTGCCCTTAGGTTGTTAATTAAAATCCAGGTTGGTTTTAATTAAGGAATCAAATTTTCTTGCATAGCTAGCTTCCAATGCCAGTTCCCTACAACTCATGGCTTCCTTAATAGTTCTAGGTTCCTCATCAGTGTCTTCAGCAATTTGAAGGGCAAAAGCATAACTATCAGCTGTGAGAGGATGGACTCCTATTAATCAGATGAGCTGCTGTTGAGCAGCTTCTGCCCAGAACCTAGTAGGTAATCTAGAATCAGATAGCATGCTCCTAACTTTCTCAAGAATGGTCCTATTCATCCTTTCTGCTAAACCATTTTGCTGAGGTGTGTATCTAAATGTTCTATGTCTTAGAATTCCACTCTCCCTACACAGATTATCAAACTCTGCATTAATGAACTCAGCCCATTATCAGTTCTTAGTTTCTGATTTTCTTCCAGATTGGTTCTCAATCATGATCTTCTCAATCCTTAAATTTCCTAAAGGCTTCATCTTTGGTTTTTAGAAAATAGATCCAGACTCTCCTAGAAAATCATCTATAATGCTAATGAAGTATCTATATCCTCCTAAAGATGGATGTTTGGTTGGCCCCCACACATCAGAGTGAATATATCTAAGGTGACCCTTAGAACAGTGGTTTCCCACAGAAACTGATTCTACTCATCTTCCCAAAACACATGATCACAGAATTCAAGTTTCTCAATCCTATCCCCCCCAAAGCATTCGCTTACTAACTCAATTAGCCCTCTCACTAAGTGTCCTAACCTTTTATGCCAAATAGAGGTTTGATTAGGTTTCTGAGATGTTACTGCTGCTGGTCCAGTAACAGTGGATCCATTCAAAAAAATATAGACCATTCCTTCTCTCCTTTCAAACCACCAGGGACCCTTTGTAACTTTCATGACTCCACCTTGAGCTTTGTAACTAAAACCATTAGAGTCAGACTACCTAAGGAAATCAGGTTCCTTTTAACTCAGGTATGTATCTAACTCTGAAAGAATTCTAGAACTACCATCATGAAGACTTAATCTCACATCCCAATGCCTAATACACTACATACTGCATTATTTCCCATTAGAACCTTGCCTGATTCTAACTTTCGAAAGTTCATAAGAGAACTCCTATTTGGAGTCATGTGAAAAGTGCAACCAGAGTCCAAAATCCACTCAGATTCAGATTCCCTACAGAAGCTACAAGGACATCAGAGCTTTCATAACCATGAGGCTAGATCAACACTGCCACTAGGCTTTTCTCCCCTGATCTCTTCTTCCTATCTGGACAATCCCTTTGAAATGCCCCTCTTTATGACAGTGGAAACACTTCCTGACAAAACTTGGATTTGAATTGGATCTGTTTCTAAAATGACCCTTCTTAAACCCCTTTTCTCAGACCTACCCGACATTAGACCTTCCCATTAACTTACCCTCCTTCCTAAACTCAGTATCCTTAGTAGTAATAAGCTACCACAACTCATCTAGCTTAAGAGTTTTTACATACTTCAGAGTATCAACAAAATTTGAAAAACTTTGGGAAGAGAATTCAGAAGAATTATAGCTTGATCCTCATCTTCAATGGTAACACTGAGGCCTTCTAAGTCTTGAACCAGTTTTCTAAAATCATTATGGTGTCACCTAAGACCTTGTTTCATCCATTTTAAAACTAAAAAATTTTGTTTTAGAACTAACCTATTTGGTGAAGACTTAGATAGGTATAGGGAGTCTAATTTTCCCAAATCTGTGCTGGTGTATTCATTTTCTTAACCTCTCTTAGAACTTTATCTCCTAGCCCTAGGATTAAAGAACTGTAAGCCTTATCTAGAAGTTCTTCTTTTTTTCAGTCAAGCTCTCTAGTAAACTCTCCTCACCTTAAGGTAGCAGAAACACTCCTTGACTAAGACAGCTCTCATTTCATCTTCCACAAACCATAATCGTTATCTCCTGTAAACTTCTCCAGCTCATACTAGACATTTCTAAGTTTCTAGCTTCCCAGTGACTTAGAAACTAAAAGCCCCAAATTTTAGAGATCAACGAAAAACCCTAAGTAGTAGACAGAACTGTGGAAAACCTAGATTATACAGATTAAAAATTGGATCCTCAACCTAGAATTAATAACCTAGGTACTCCACACAAAAGCTTGATACCATATGGTGTAAATTAAACCCAATATATAGTGAATCAGCAATAGTCCAGATTAGGAAATCAAATCATAACAATCATAATAATGAAGATAAAAGCAGTAAAAGAAAAGTAGACAATAGAGACACCAATTTATAGTGGTTCGGTAATCTGAAAGATTACCTACATCCATCTTCAAAGGCAACCAGAAAAGGTATTTTACTATGAGTTTGAGAAACCTTACAGAAGAATCGGCTCCACCTTTTACACCAAGGCATCAACCCGATAAAAACCCTCTGTTTACACACCCGTATACCCAGATGCTCTCACCACTCATACGTCGCACACAAAGCAGAAAATCAGTACAGATTTATACAAAAAAGTAAGGGCTATAACAGAAAAGGACAGCTCACACCTACCATCACCGTTGATTCCATGGACGGGTATGGGATTTCCAGCACAGCATCTCTAACCGTTTCTCTCTCTGTTAACCAAGAGAGAAAAGTGAGAAAGAGCTGCGTACACAAGACCTAATTCGATTTAGGTTTCGGGAATCAAGGGAAAAGACAGAAATGCCCCTTTTGTCTTAACAATTTACTTTGACCAGCCAACTCCAGATTTGACTCTAGTGTCATATAAAAATGCCACATCACTACATAATTATACTAAATCATGCAGATTGTCTTACTTTTCGTTACACTGGCATCATTTTCTCGTATCTCTACGCCAACTGACCAAATAATTAGTGTAAGTTCAGTTACGGATACACTTAGAAAATTACAGTCAGGAAATAGTTATTTTTCTCCTCCTCGTCCGGCATTTGCAGGATCGTAGTGATGTGAACTTTTTATGTATCTATAGATGAACTTTTTTATGATTGATTTCTATCAACTCTCAGACAAAATAATGCAATTTATATTATTATTATTATTATAAACATTTAAGTAAATAAACTAACTTTCATTCTTAATTTGTTCCACCTTTCACACATGTTGACAGTGAAAATATACAAAATCTGATGGTACCCTAGTTTGAAAAACCATCAAAGTTCCACCCGATCTTCAATTTCAAACGTTAAAATAACGGTTAAAGGATATTTTACGTCATTTATCCCCAAAAAAATAACATAAGAAACTAAACCTAAAATCCTTTTTCTTCCCCACATATATAAAAACTATAATATATACAATTTCTAGATTTTGGTTCATCTTAATAAAATATTAAAGTATAATTAGTTTTATTTTGGCTCATCCTAATAGAAATTTTAATCTACCCTGGATACACTATCCGCTAAATTACTTGAATTTATAATAAAGATAAAATGTTTATTTAGAGAAAAATGCTATCCGAAGCAGATTGACAGAGGAGTCATGTTAGAATTAAAGCGAGAAAGAATATGATAATTTCCCATAATAAATTTATTTTTCTCTGAATCGAAGACCAGATATAATAGTATATAATTGTTTTGAAATCTCTGCATAGATTTCTCATCGAAATGGGAACTCTTCTGGTAGAGGTTTTCAGGCACCCAGATGAACTTTACCCGCTGTTGAAGCTGAAACGGGCGGCCAAAAAATGCAGTGAAGCAGACCCCACTCAGCCTCACTGGGTTTTGTTATAATTCTGCACAAAGTCTCTCGTAGTTTCGCTCTCCTTATTCAGCAGCTTGATACCGATCTTAGAGACGCTGTAAGTCTTCTTCATAATATGTTTCATGGTGTTTATAATATTGACACCCTAAGGTTTCTATGCTTCACAGGAGTCTAGAAATATCATTAGGGCGTGGCGTGACGTTAAAAGGAAGTTAATTTTTTATATTTTCAAACGAACCCGATGAGTTTCTTTTAGGCAATCGCCCTTCTTATTTATGGCATAAGAGAATTGCTACATTACAGGGTCTTGCTTTGTGTCACCAGTTAGAAGTTTCACACCAAAGAGTGATCATTACGTGGAGGGGCTTCTTCCTATAAACCCAAGACCCCCCTATTCTTTCTGACGGCCTACCCGTCCACCTCACCTCATCCACAAGTGAACCCACAATCACATGTAAACGCTCCTTTGCGTGAGCTCTTGCGCGGATATCAAAAGACGGATTGAGATCGGTGTTCATACCATTTGTTCATGGGTTAGGCGTTTACACCCAAAATGGAACCTATCGTGTGTTTATGCACTTTCACCTAATATATATAACCTAAAAGGCAACCACATGTATAATATTAAAAAAAAAAAAAAAAAAAAAAAAAAAAAAAAAAAAAAAAAAAAAACTAAAAGTGTCCACAGGAAATCTCTGATCTATGCTTATTACCATCTTAATATACAGCAAGAAAGCTTACATGCGTCCACGTTGCATGGTTTGTTTATATTGACATCTTCATTCTAATTTTCAAGTGACAAATTGTGGTTCTGCAGGTATGCATATTTTATTTGGTTCTTCGAGCCCTTGACAACATTGGTTGTTTTCTGCTGTC